AGTGATGCCAATCTGAACCTCCCACCCCAAAGGAATGGATACAGACTGTGAACTTTTTATTTGAGATGGAGATTCTAACACATGGACTGAGGACACAAGAAGAGCAATGTCAGGATAAAAGGGAAAAATGGACAAACGTCAGATCAACGCTACAGGACTAATTATGGGTATGAACGGTCCCTTGTGTTTTGTGTCACTAAAATAAGTCTTCCTCCCGTTTGCAATATTTGTTTTGATTGTTCTGTATTTTTTGTCTCTTATAATTTCTAAGTACTGTTTGACTTTTCTTTTTGATTTTATTCTGAAAATTTCAATAAAAATAGAGTTATAAAAAAAAAAAAGAGCCCATCCATCCATCATCTGCCGCTTATCCGGGATCTGGTCGCGGGGCTAGCAGCCTAAGAAGGGAGGCCCAGACTTCAGAGTGGGGCCCCGGTGACACGCATCCGGGCGAGGGAACACGAAATCGAAATGTTTTCTTCATTTTTGGAATCTTCGGGCTGCACTTTGTCTGGTACTTCACCTAGGACCTGTCTGCCTTGGGTGACTTTCATGAAGTGCCAGATAGCATAGCTCCTAGGATCATTGGGGCACTCAAACCCCTCCACCATCATAAGGTGGCAGCCCAAGGACAGACATTAAGAACCCACTTTACTCAAATTTAACTCTTAAGTAGTTCACAGCCATCAATCTGTGTCTGCTGGGGGTTTCTTGACTGTGATTGTGGTACCACTTATTGCTGTCTTACCCTTTGTTGTGATATAATTAATTCATACGATCAAATAAAAACAGGGCATGCAAATATCGGCAACTCATAATTTGCTATGCCAAAATATGCATCCCATGCTAACTCTGCCAAATAGAGAGTTAGGAAGGATTTCCCTTTTCTTCATTATCATTCCTGTTCTCTGAGCTACTGGCATTGTTTCAAAAGGACAATACTTAGGAAAAATAGATAGGGCATACAAATATCGGCAGCTCAAAATTCATTTTGCCAAAAAATGCATTGCCCCAAGCTTAAAAAAACAAACAGTTACGAGTGAAATAGCCTTTTCTACATAATCACATTTGTTCCCTTAATTGCTGGTATGAGTATATCAATATCAATAGGACGACATTTAAGGAAAATAGAGAGGGCAAGCATATTTTGGCAGGTTGATAATAGGCTTTGCCATAAAACGCATCCCCCTGCTAACATGTAGAAATAAAAAATTAAGAGTGAAATAACTTTTTCTACATAAGCACAATAGTTCTATGAGCTACTGCTATGAGTTTTATGTTATTAGCATAACATTAGAGAAAAATAGAGAGGACATGCAAATTTTGGCAAGAGCAAAATCCATATTGCCTAACAATGTATCCCCCTGCTAACTTGGAGAAATAAAGACTTAAGAGTGAAATAACTTTTTCTACATAACCAGAGTAGTTCTATGAACTACTGGTATTAGTTTTATATCAATTCTATCATATTCGATAGACAGGGGATGCAAATATTAGCAGGCTCAGAAATTAAAATGTATTTCCCTACACTAGACAGTTAAACGTGATATAAAATGTTCTATATAATGGGCCTCAGTTTGTAAAGTTTTAAGCTATTATGGTGTTAAAAGAGAAATCAGGGAATTTCAAACCAGCTGCGGAGAACTTGTTCATCAGACACTAAAAAACGTTTGACAAATATGTCTCAATAAACGTAAAAAAACGTATTTATTTCAATTAATTTGCTAAATAAAACCCACAATTTTAGGTCTTAAATGATTAATAAACGTGATAATGTTACGAATATCTTTAAAAGTTTAGGGGATGCAATTCTCGGCATAACACCGGCCATAAAATACATAATTAAGAAGAAAAATACATATATGTCGCACCAGAGTATAAGTCGCATTTTTGAGGGAAATTTATTTGATAAAATCCAACACCAAGAACAGACATGTCATCTTGAAAGGCAATAAAAATAGAATAGAGGTTAATAGTACGGTATGCTAACGTTACATGACACATGAACAGCGAACTGAGAACGTGCCTGGGATGTTAATATCCCAGGCACATATTAAGAGTTATTCAGATAACTATAGTACAAATAACATGCTAATAAGTTTACCAAACCATCCGTGTCACTCCAAATCACTAAACGCAATGAAATCTTCGTCCTCCATGTCGCTTGTAAACAACTCTGAAGGTAGAATAACACAGGCCTAGACCGCCGTCTGGCGGATTAGTGTGTAAATAACATGTGAAATAATATCATGACGTGTTAATTTCCACACAAAAATAACTCCAGAGTATAAGTCGCAAACTATGAAAAAAACTGCGATTTATAGTCGGGAAAATACAGTAACTGTCACAGTGAAACAAAAAAGTTGTGTGTCTTTTTAAACAGTGGATGGAAATATCCCTGTCCAGCTGTTTGACAGATGGACTGCCTTTCCTCCATGAACATCTGCTCAGAACACACACACAGCATTTCTCCACAGCATCTCTGACACCATGCTGTGTTCAAAGAAAGCAGGCTAGATCTGATTCATGTCCGGCAAAGCAAGTTTTGCTCTTCCTTCTGTGGTCCCTGAGTCAGAATGAAGGAAGCTGGGGGTGAAAGCCATCAGTAAAACACAGAGCGCCGAAGAAACTGGGACAATGTCAAAAAGATAAGGAGTGTGGTGACTACACAGCAACTGAGTCACATGATGCTTGACTAAACCTATTTGATGCTTGATGCTTGGAGCTGTCAGCATCTAGAGCAGCTCCACTCTAGATGTCTTACATTCTGAAGGTAAGACAAGAAAGACAATGAGTTCAGCTGATGACAACCAAGCTCCTCTGATGGCACGCTGCAGTCTCTAATCATAGGTTCCTCTCAAAGCCTGTAAGATTTAATTAGTGTTGCACAAACGCTTGACAGGAACTTGAGAAGCTGTGAATGTTTCTTTGACAAATAACACTTCTCACATATGTGTGTGAGAGAGACTGTATGTGAAAAACCTGCCTGAGTAAGCACCTGTTGGATAATTGAGACTGACAGAGGATTGGAATAAAGTAGAGTGGAGGCAATTATTCTGTTAAAATCTTTTAGTCAGAGAAACATAAAGGCCAGTTGGTTGGTTTGAGCGGCTGAGTGAATGTGGTTCAGGGAGTATTAACATCAAGAGATTCTGCAGAAACATCCTCAGGTCTGTGCTGTTTGAAGTTGAGCTTCTACAGCACAACTGTACTTTTCACATCTTACTGGATGTTAACTTAGTTCTTGGTAAGCAAGTAAATAAATAAGACTAGACTAGACTAGAGACTAGACTTCCTTTATTGTCATTGTACAAAAAAAACACAAGGTGAATCTTGACAACGAAATGTCGTTACTTGGCTACCAGTGTAACAGAGCTAAAACCTTATACTACACAATAAATAAATACAAGTGCCGTAGAATACATAGGTTCAGTGTTGTGAACAAAACTAAACTAAAGTGCATGTATTGACCATGTCCATGGGGGGGTGATGAAATGTGATATTGTGGTGACTATTTAGTGTTTAATAATCTCTTTTTGTGACAAAAGTATATTTTTTCTTTTGCTCTTTTAGAAAGAGGTCCATTTTTACAGTTTTGAATTTCAAAGTCAGCATGTTAAAAAACATTCTAATTCAGGTTTTCAGCAGGTTGTATAATGTCAAATCAAAGAAACTTTCACTTCCATTTTCTGTTTGGATTCATTTAAAAACTTAAGTTATTTCTCTTTTTTTTGTCTTTTAATCTAAACAAATACCTACATTTTGTAAGAAGATGCACATAACTTATGTTTAAAGATGTAACCTTTATAATGTTTTTTTTACATATTTGTTGAAAATATCACTATGTGGTGTGTGAAATAAATCAAGTTCATCCAGCTTCTCCTAATGCTATCTAGAAACAACCAACCAGTCAGAAAGCGGGTCTTAACGCTGCCAATCAGCCTCTGAGTAATGGCAGCACAGGGAGAAGGTGAAGGAGATCAATCTTTTCTCTTAATATACTGTCACAACATAACAATTTTAGCAATTATGTAATGAAAGTTATATATATCAGATTTAAATAAATTGCTTGGCCAAGGAAAAACCATAGAAAGTTAATGATATACAAATAAATCCTTAGAAACCATAACCCATAGTTTTATATAGAGACATAAGCTGTGTCCAAATTAAAGCTCTGCACCGGGTCCTTCCAACACCATGACATGAATAAACTAAGACCAGAAGAGAAAAGCTGTGAATTCAGACAAGTCTAGCCATTCTCATCCCCACCTCAGCCTAACTCACGTTGCCCAGCAGCCGTGACAGCGTGAAGCAGAGTGGAGAAGAAGAAAAAGTAACAGAGTTGAAGTTTGTTTTTCACCCATGTATTTTCCCTGAATTCTGTATTATTCTGCACTTTTTATAGTAAAGGCTGTTCCACAGTAAAAAAAAGAAATCTTGTGGAAATCAGCAGAAAAAGACAGAAAAATAATTTTAGTTTTGTTTTATTCTCAGTGTCTTCCATCAAAACCAAAAATAGGATGTAGGACAACCGTTGGTGTCTTCTCACCTCACCTTCTGCCCTTCTCTATAAGAGTATGCATTCGGGTGTGAAATATTGACATTGTATCTGGCACAAACTGTTAGTTTGATTCTAAGATGTTCAAACATGTATTTCATATTTCTACCATGATAAATACAATATAAGTAAAATAATTTGTTTTCAAATCTATTTCGAAGTCTCAGATATGGCATTATAGTTAATTAAAACTAGCATGTTTGAAGGCTTAACTTTAATCAATCAAATCGATTTGCTCAGGAATAAATTAAATACTTCAGTAAACCACGCTATGACGTAATCGGCCTACAAATCCATCCTTCAAAGGATGCAAAACCTGAATTCAGACATAGCTATAGACTTGAAACATAAAATTCTTCTTATTATTATTAATATCTATGAGGATTTCTATCAGATTTGTGATCTAGTTGGTCCACTTCTTCAGCTTTCATTTCTTCCGCAGGAGTCTACGCCTTTGGCCTCTTCACGGTTGACATCTTCGTCAATGCAGGGCAGGTAGTGACAGGGAACTTGGCACCGTACTTCCTGACGGTCTGTAAGCCAAACTACACAGCACTCGGGTGTCAACAGGCGCAGCGCTACATCAGCCACCAAGAGGCCTGCACAGGGAATCAAGATGATGTCGTCAGGGCCCGCAAGACCTTTCCCTCAAAGGAGGCTGCTCTCAGCATCTACGCCGCTCTCTATCTGGCTGTGAGTTTATCTTTCTGATCTGTGGGCCAGATTAATCTTACAAGCACTCTGATCAGTTTAGCTGTGCATCTCCGTTGTTTTCTGCATCTCCGTTGTTTTCTGTAGGCTGCTGGTTCAGTTTTTCTTTCTGTTTTTGATTGCTCTGTGAAGGGCCCTCCAGTCATGTACTGGAGTGGCTTTGGACTCCCTGCATGGAGTGGAGAGCAGATTGCCTTTGTTATCTAGGTCATTTAACAAAGAAGGCCATGTTGTGTAAATATATACCACTTCTGTTAACAGTAGCCCTCTCTCTAAGAATAACGAGCACTTGTTAATGGCTAGATTAGTTTCAGTGACTTTGTGAGTCCCATGGTCATTATTTTATATGTCAACTAAAGGAACCATGAACATTGGGTTTTACATTAGATAGAATAACTGATAAAATGACTCAATTAATTTCAATGTCCAAACCTCAATAGAATTTATATATATATATATATATATATATATATATATATATTAAGCAAGCTTTAAGCAGGAGAAGATGGCAAACAGATTAATTATCAATTATTAAAAGTTTTTAAGAGTAAAATTTAAATCTAAATATAATCAACATAAATCTCTCCTAACACTGTGCCATCAATTCAATAAATAAGGCTTTTTGGGGTGCAGGCAACTCATACCCGGATGATAGAGGATTTTGGCAACAGAAGACATGAATATTCTTGTCATGCCAAGACAAGACTCTAGTCTTGTCTTGGCACTTTTCATTTTACTCATGACCTCTGACCTATGGCAGATCATCATAATCTGTCAATTGTGGAAATCTGCTACAGTAAATCTTGTATTTATCCTAAGACGCTAAGAGTCACCTTGAAGTGACTCTTAGCGTGAATTGATGGCACGACAAATCCTCCTTTGAACAGGAACCAAGCAGACTGGTAGTTATCCTTCAAACGTCCCAAATCTTCATCACTTTTGTGATCTTTGTCTGATCCCCAAGTCCGTTGCAGCAATTCTTGAGATCTCTTGGGTTGAGTGTGGAGCCTCGGTCGAATTAGGAACCAGAGTTGTTGGATATCGGGTCCCGTCTCTCTTCCAGCGAAGTGTAGGCTTATCTTCCCTCTGGGTCCGGGGCGAGGCTCCTCGATGGTTTCTTGGCCCACTGTTGCCTGGTCGACTTGCTGAAGACGGAGAACCCAAGCTCTCTATTTATTTATAGTCTTTTCCCCCACTGTTGTGTATGGGGAGCAGATTACATGATTGCTCAAGTATTTGATTACTTCATACCAGGCCTGCTTGCTTACACCAGGTCCACTGATTACTTCATTGTTTGCTTGCACCAAGGCCCTGTGGCTCATTGCCAAGATTTCCTTTTTTAGCGTCCGAGCCAGACCTGTGTACGCCCATTACCAGAACATTTCAAAGCTTGCTTTTGCAGCCAAAGACTGTCCCTATGCTTTTTTTATTGTTTGATTTCAATCCTTTATATGTCATACAAACTTATAACTCATCAACACAATCTTTTAATACAATTCTTCAATCATAGCTTCTTAATACTCATTACTTTTGATTCAGTATGATTATACTTTAAACGTGTGATTCATTGTTTTAACTGATTTATATAATTATCAACAATCAACTGCAGAATTTACTTACTTCAACATAATACATTTTTCCATAATCATCATTGAATCAGCATACAAGATTACTTCAGTCTCTCAGGCCCGTTATGATCTGTTTTCTGCGTGAACCTGGGCAGATCTCACCTCCTCATACCAGTTTTTACGACAATATATATCGTCTGGCTCTTGAACCATAAGAAATTAAATGGGATTTAATCAAGAATCATAACTGGTTAGAAAGAAGAGGAGAGGGAGAAGGGAGCAAGAGGCAGAGAGACAGAAAGAATGAGCTGCATTAGTGAGAAGGAAAAGTGCATCTTAAGCTGGATCTGTTTTCATTCTGGAGACATTGGACAGCTACCTCCACTTCCAATCAGCACCGAATCAAAGCTCTAAAACAGACCCAGAGGAAAGGCCTTGGGCTGTAACACCCCTCCTCTTCAAGACAGGGTTCTACTGGGACCCTGAGAAACCTATGTATTAACAGCTGGAAAAATAGAAAAAAAAATAATTAGATGCATGTACAATATCTCTGACAAGCTGAGCTGGAGCAGAAAACAAAAACTTAGATTCCTTCAGGTCCCATCCCTAAGTCAACAACTGGTACCTTGAAGTGACTCTTAGGTTAGGGGAGAAAGAAGTTACTGACTTTGTGCAATTGACAAAGCATCCGCAATGACATTATCCTTTCCCAGAGGTCTGCTGTGACCATCTGAGCCATCAGCGTTATACTGTCACTCAGTCTGCAGGGTGCAGCCAGATTCCTACTCAGACTGCTCCACCACCAAACCAGGCAGTGAGGTACAAGATAATCTCAGATTACCATGGCAATACGGAGAATGACATGAGTTTTAGTGTACTGTGATACGTACTTTCATTCCTCAATTAGTTAATATAGATGGATGCTGAAGCAGTAGAAATATTTTCAGTTATTTTCCTGTTAATTTCCTGCAGCAGCAGTATGTGTGTGCCATCGATACACTGTGTCATATTTGGCAGGTCTGGGAAATGGCAGCTTAAAAGGTGACTGATCCCAGTGTATTGTAATACTAAAAGATTTCTTAGAATACTAAGAAATCTTTTAGTATACTAAAACCACCTATACCACCTATATAGGGTGGTAAGATACCACAAGAGGGTTATCTTACTACCCTCTTGTGGTGGTATTTGAGTTAGGTTTTGTTTAATTAAAATTCAGTCTGTCCAGCATTTTTTGGTGTGCAAAGTGGCTGAGTGACAACTTGTTCAAGTCTTAAGTATCTTTGTCTTTTTACAAAAAAGAGAAATAAAAGTTCAGACGACTCAAAATTTGGAGGTTTTTTTTGTTTTGTTTGTTTGCTACCTGTCTCAAGCAGCACAGCACACCTGTGTGAGGACAGAATAGTAAAAAGACAGTTACACAACCGTCTGGGAACAGACTCACTGTCGTTGACCACGTACTGCAATCAAGATAAGAACATTATGGAGCAACGAAGGCAAACAGGTTTTGAGGTCTTGTTGTAGGTCGCAGCGTCCAAGTCATTGAGGAGATCTAGTAAGTCCTCTGCCATTGCAGCAGCTACCAAGGCAAAAGCTAATGCTCAAGCAGCCCTGATAGAAGTCAAGTATGCAGCTCAAGAAGCGGAGAGGATGAAAGAAATAGCCTCCATTGAAGCTGTAAATCAGTAAATGTTAGCTTGAAGCGGAACAGCGCAAAGCAGAGTTGGAGGCAAATCTGTACGTCCTGAAACTAAACAGGACCGCAAAAGCAGCCTCAGCAGAAGTTGCAGGCTATGAGTGGCAGCAGCAACAGAGGTGGATTCCCTTGAAGAAAGAACCCAGATTTATCCTGAGGATCGCACTCAACGCACACATGAGTACATACAGGCTCACAATGTGACATTAAATGCTCAGCAGGAAGCTCCGGTCTCACAAGAATCTCAGAACGAGTTCATCCTGACCCAACTCTGTGATTTCCAATTCAAAATGAAGAGCCTCGTTTATCTAAGCTCTGCATTGAAGATGAAGAAACGTCTGGTGCATAAAACAGAGGCTACCCACCTCATCTTCCTCTACCAATGTTGCAACCATCCAGTCTCCGAGATTATCCGTGTGAACCAGCACAGGTAACTGATCTCACCAAATACCTCGTCAGAAGCTCTGGGCTGCTAAAATTTGATGACCATCCAGAAAACTACTAGGCCTGGAAAACTTCTTTCCAAGACATCACTGGAGAGTTCAACTTAAAAGCATGGAAAGACCTTGACCTGCTGTTAAAGTGGCTTGGTCCAAACTCATCTCCACAAGTCATGCGTATCAGGTCAGTCCATGGATTTTTCTTTTCTTTTTTGCTCTTTAATCTTTTTTTTTTCTCGTAAATTGAGGGGCGCTGGGCCCCACAGACGCTGGCTCACGTGTCATATTTGCCGCATATTTGCCACACCATCGATACACTATCATTTGGTGTCACTATGATGTGGTAAAGGGTAAATAATATATATGGTTCCCCTGAGATTATAGAAAATGCACTTCTGTTAAAGCTAGAGACTTATTCAAAAATATCCAACAACGACAATCAGTGTTTTAGAGAACTGGGGGATATTTTAATGGAGGTTCAGTCAGCTAAGTCAGGTGGAAAATTACTATCTTGACACAGCCAGAGGGGTGAACCCAATTGTGGAAAAGCTTCCCTATGCCTTACAAGAATGCTGGATTACACATGGTTCTAAATACAAGGGAGAACATAATGTTTCCTTTCCACCCTTTAGCTTCTATGTAAGTTTCATATGTAGTCAAGCGAAAACTTATAATGATCCAAGTTTTATGTTCTCTACATGCCGTGTTATGACCCATGTAAAGTCAGAAACTGGTAAGGCACAACAACACTTAAAAACAGTGTCAGTGAGAAAAACTGAAGTTGCAGTCGCACCTGCAGTCAACAGTGAATCAGAAAAGAAACTAGAGGAACCAGCTGAGAGGTGCCCGATACTCTGTAAGCCACATCCCTTAGCAAAGTGTCGTGGTTTTAGAATGAAGTTCTTAGATGAGAGAAAAGCTTATCTAAAAGAAAACTCCATTTGTTTTCATTGTTGCTCATCCACTTTGCACTTGGCCAAAGACTGTAAACTTTCTGTGATGCGCAAAGAATGCAACAGTGACAAGCATCTTACTCCTTTACATCCTGGTCCTGCTCCTTGGGTTACAGAGGTTGAAGCAACACAGCAAGAGCAAGGCGGGGAACAAGAAAATAGTCCCATCTCCGGAGGTTACGTCAAAATGTACAAAGATCTGACAGATCTCATGGACTCAGATCCTGTTCAAAAATGTCATTAGTGAACATGTACCCTGTTAACGATCCCAGCAAAGCCCAGAAGATGTATGTAGTTTTAGATACACATACATCTTCTGGAAAGTCAG